TCTTACCAAAAAATCAAGACCCCACCTTTCTCCTGGTCTTGTTAGGAGAACCTTGTAAACATACACCTCGGTTGTACTTTTTCTTCGGTCACTGCGGTTTTCAGCCCTGGCTTAAGAAACCTGCTCTTTCTGCTTAGTAAACCACATCGTGGGTGTATTTCTGAACAAATCGTTTTCCTTAGGAAACCCTTTTTTGAAATAGAGTTCCATTTCTTTTTCAGTCCCCACCCCCCCTTCGCCAGCCTTCAGAGGCTCAGGTTGGGGTTAAAACACCCTTTCGTATTACTTTAATTACTGCTCTCCCCACCCCCATCCCTGCTCCTTTCCTGTTTCCCCCTCCTCTTTCCCCCTGAACGGTACTGTTCTGCAAAGCCTGCCGTGATTGATGTGATGGCAGTGCTGTCATTCTTTTTAACCAAAAAAAAGTCATTTTTGTTCTAGTTATTTTAATAGAGTCCCATTAAAGATGTATTGCTGACTGAAATATCGGCATGAAGGGCTCTCACTGAGCTGAGCCCAGGAATTAAGAAGTCAGGAAATCGGCTGCTGCATTGCAAGAGAGCCTTGTGTGACACCGAATCTCCTGATTGGGGAGATCATTACTGCTATTATGACTCGACTTGCGTAGGAATTTTAAATTCCATCTGAATGTCAGTAATAACCCTCTTAGCAAATTATCCTGAATAAAATCACGAAGGCATTTTATATAATAGGTGTTGAATTACTGGATAGATTTGCTAATTAAATACTCTTTGTTCTGCTGCAGTTGACATTACAGGGTAAGATCTTGAACAATTATTCTCAACAGCTGTACTTTGTTAAGGGAAAAATTAACCACAAAGTTTATTTTTTTACACTTGAAGTTGGCAGATTTTTGAAATGTGCTTGAAAAATTTCATCATCCAATTGGTAATGAGTAGATAAATATGCAGGTGTTGCTGTGAAATCAGATAACTGCCGACTGCCTTATTAATGAATTTAGCAAGCCTTTTATAGCCCTGTTTTCTAGCTTCTGGCACTTACGAAATGATTTCTGTCAGAATGGGTAGCTTTAATATTAGGCTTGTCACTTTGAAGTGAATTTATGAGCGGTCATCTTGTAATCACTGTTCCTTGTGTCCAGTAGACCTTTCTGGATACCTGCGGCTTTTTTGTAAAATGCATTTCCTTAATGGGGAAAATATCTGTAATACATGTTTTTGATTGTTGGCTTTCAGAACATTCATGTGGTATAGGCTTTTTAACAAGGCAGTAAAGGCACAGTGGTAAGAAAATGAACCATAAGGTCCAGCTTCTAGATCAAGCTCTTGACCAACTCTTACTTCGGGCAAAATCGCAGAGCCAAATTTTCCTCATCTGTAAAATGGGGTTCACAGTGCTCCCTACCCATTAGAATTATACATTCAGCATTCTACACATATTTGTTAATGGCTACCGTGTATTAGGTCCTCTGCTAGATCTTGAGATATTGGTAGCCCCCTGGCTATCCAACACCTGAGTCCAGTGGGAAGTTTGAATTGAGGGTAGCTTCGGGGTGAACGTGCTCATTAGCCTTGGGTAAGCACTGGACTGGATAGGGAACTGGCGTAGCCACCGTCTCAAACTGCTTAGTGAAGAAGCACGCGAAGCAGCAGCCAGCCTGGTTGTGGGTTGTCGGCCGAGGACGGACTGAAGAGTTGACCAGCTGGGGAGAGGACCTTGAGCTTGAGACACAGCACAGTCATCAGCTGCTGTTGAGATCCACTGGAAAGATGGTGACTAAAACTATCTGCAGAAATTAGTGCACCCTCTATGGAGAGCTGTTTGACTATATTTATCAAAAAAAAAATTTAATATATAACCTTTAACCCAGTAAGTCTTCTTGTAGGAGTTTATCTTATTACTGGCATATTGGCAGATTCCACGTGTATGGGGATTATTTGTTGAAGTGTGGTTATAAAGATGAAGATTAGAAATAATATACCTGTTCAATAATAGAGCACGAGTTCAATCATGATCAGTTGCTACAGTGGAGTACTACGTAGTCATTAAAAAGAATACATAAGCTCTCTATGCGTGGGTATGGAAAAATCTCTAAGATAAAGTGTTAGGTTAAGAAAAAGCAGTGGCAATAAGGCCTTCATAGTTTTGCTTAGTTTTCTACCATTTCTGTGCAAAACATCCACCAAGGGGTTTCTGCCACCAAAGAGAAAGCCATTTTGGTAGCAGCCCTCCGATTGTACAGGGACATGGCTGTGAGTTGGTGGAGGACAGAGTGGGTAGGTGATGGATCTGAAAGGCGAAGGTGCCCTCAGGGAGGATCTGTTGGTTTGGTTCACGGTGTGAAAGAAGAGTAGAAGAAATCGGTTACTGCAGATGCAGAATTGCAGTGAAAGGTCAGCAGATTGTTCCTGAGGCATTTTACTTGGCACGGAACGGTTACCTGGTGGAATCATCCTTGTGGTGAGGCCAGCTAAGCCTCGCAGGGACGAAGGGGCAGAGGATGAAGAGAACTCGCGATAAGTAGTTCTGTTCTCACTATGATTCGCTTGACTTGGGTGGATCTTACTATTGCCCTTGTCCCAAAGGAATTCTCAGGTAGTCTCCCACAATGCTCTCCCTGCAATTTAAATGTTAAAAAATGAAGATGAAGTGGAGGAGAGTGAATGTTTTTATGAGGTAACTGAATTCTAGTGCCTAGGAGAAAAGTAATTAAGATTACTATGAGACCTCTCAGTCAACTAGCAAACAGCATTTTTAAGTGCCTGTTACATGTGAAGCCTGGACTTGACGGGGAGGGGACACTAAAAACTGTTTCCAGAATGGGGTTACCATGATTATCTTGGGCCAGTGGCCTTTAACCTCACCTACAACATGAGAATCATCTTGAGAGCTGTTTAGAAAAAATGTGTTGGGGCCAGGTATTGGTATTTGTTCCAAGATTCCCAGGCATTTCCACTGTACAGCCATGATTAAAACCGCTGGCTAGTCTAATCAGTATTCACCGCCACCCCCAGGGCAGGGGAAGGGCTCCCTTCCCTAAGAACATCAGAGAGTGAATGCCTGCACAACGTTGGGAGACAGTAATAGAGGGGAGGGGCAATGGCAATGGAAAGTAGTGGGGAGATATAAAAGATATTCCGAGGTAGGATTTGTAGGGCTCTGTAATATGGAGGACAGGGAAGACAGATATGATACGAGATTTGAGCTTAGTTGACAGTGAGGACCGCTGGGGGTAGGAGAAAAATATAAATGAAGTAAATCTATCTGACCTGTTGGAAAAGTGAATTCTGATTTAGATTGATGGGCAGTAGTGGACAGGAAATAGCATGAAGTGACTAAGGTCCCATACTCTGGAGTAAGAGATCTTGGGTTCTTATCCTTGCTCTGTCATTTAGTGGGACAAATTATTTACTTCCGCTTGGCGTGTTTTTTTTTTTTAATCTAACAAATGGGGATATTAATGGGGGTTATCTCTTGGGGACCTTGGAGAATAACATGAGAAAATACATGAGATGCTTGTAGTACAGTATCTGCCCCCTCACAGACACACCCTCTGTGGGCTCATTACATCATGTTACTTTTTAAGAGGCCTTCCATTTGTTAAATTTGTGTTATTTCTGATCTGATCCCTGATACTTTATGTCTGTTTTTATCTATATCCACATTACAACCTATATGTGTCTGATCTTATAGTTGTATGGACCTGTGGACAGGCCCATCTACAGACATTATCTGTATGACTGCCTTCGTTTACCGAATGCTTATTGAGCCCCAGCTTTGGACTGGGTGCTGTGCTAGCTCCCGGACTATAGTGAAGGTCTGCTTTCTGCCTTCAAGAAATTTAGTGTACAGAAGAGATTTAAATCTAACCTGTTTATTTTATTTATATATATATATATATGAATGATATATTTGATATGTATCTAGTATGTATATTAGATATATACCTTTATCATATATATTTTATATATAATTTTAAAAAACTTTTTAAGATCCTGAATACCATGAGTAAGAATTGCCTGATTTGAAATGCTCTGTCAAGCTTTTTTTTTTTTTTTTTTTTGGCGCCACGCAGTTCTTTTAAATATTAGTAATGAGAATAGTTGGCCTTCTTTCATGTTATAAAGGGATTCAGTCGGTCTTTGAATAATGTCATTTTGTCATTTCACTGTAATATTGAATGAGGGAAAAAATCAATTCCCGCTTGGGACCACTGTCAGTATGGAGTTTGCATCTCCTTCCTATGTCTACATGGGTTTTCTCCAGGGACTCCGGTTTGTCTCACGTCCCAAAGATGTGCATGCTAGGTTCATTGTCATGTCTACAGTGTCCCAGTGTGAGCGAGCGTGAGTGTGAGCGCGCCCTGCGATGGAAGGGCGACCTGTCCAAGGTGGGTGCCCACCTTGCACTCTGAGCTGCCAGGATCAGCTCAGGCCACTGATGACCCTCAGCTGGAACACGCGGGTTGGGAAAGAATTTTCTGGTTTTTATTCATCTTCCTTAAATGTATGTGTAGTCCACCTTTATTTCAATGTTTAACGTTAGAAGTGTTTGGGATGTTTATTTAGAAATTTGCTGATGTTTTTGTGACTGTAGGAAATATGTCGTAGGAACTTAACTTTTGTTTATATTAATTAGCCTGTGGCAAAACTGGTTTCTTTATACATGTCATTTCACCCAAAGTCTCAGTTTCCAAGCATCTGTCCATGATGTTAGGTGAGGACTTACTGTATTTTCATTATGTATGTTTATTAAAGAGGGATCTTTACATAGATCTGCTTCCATAGAGCTTACATAGATCTTTATAGTAGATCTGTTTACATATCTCTAAGAATCAGCATTGAGGCAAATTTATTTTTAGACTATGTTGATGTTATTGTTACTTTGAGAGTTGTAGTTAGAAAATGATGAAGAGCTTTAAAATATATGGAAATGCAAATCATCGGGCTACCTATGTGCTTATATTTATGTTTTTGTAATTATATAATGCATTAACCTTGATTTTCTGTTTCATTTAGATTTTGATGCATACGAAAGACATGGTAGAGAAGGTAATGCTGAGCATTTTCATCATATAACAACTCTTAACTATCATACCTAGAGACATTTTTGTATTCAAGGAAAATTGCAACCCAAACAGACAGGAAATGGCTTCTTAGGATGTCTGGTTTACGTTTATAATCCCCCCTAATGGATTATAGCTTTTTTCTTTTACTAACACTGATATGATCTAGCCGCTGCTTGAAGCCTATATGTGACTGTTTCAAGCAAATTAGTAACAGTGCTAATTAGAGTTTACTTCCAGGCTTTTATACTGTATGTGCTCTAGTGTTGTTTGCAATGATTGATTTTTTTTGGCACTCTTCATATTCTACTAAATACTGTTTGAAACTGTTTAGAATTTAATATGGATTTGTGCCTCTGAATTTTAAAATCCTATTATGTTTCTGCTTCATAAATTGCCATGACCACGAAGCTTGTGGTACAGTGGGTAAATATAGTCCCCCTTTCCTAGTCTCTCATCCTCTTTGTATTATTGAGTTACACATTCTGTTTTTGTTGAAACTAGACACTTCCCCTGCCACCGTTAATACCTGTTTGTTTTAAGAAAATTAGGGAGATTTTTTAATGTGGCAGTTTTCGCCTTTCTGGTTTATTGGGGCTTAATCTTCAGTTGTACACTCCTGATAATGTGGATAAAAATAAGTTTAGCCTTTGGGGAAAAACCAGCAGAGCCTGTAATTTCCGTAATAAAAAATCTTGAGTTTCATTGTGCATAATGGTCAATGTGACCATTTTTATAATTTTTATAATTTTTCCTTTTTATTAGATGAATCTTGAAGTTATTTATGGAGATACAGATTCAATTATGATAAACACCAATAGTACCAATCTGGAAGAAGTATTTAAATTGGGAAACAAGGTGAGATAATTTGATAGAATTATCTGTTTTATTTACTTTTGTGAATTATTTTTAACTGGAACTTCATAAATTCATGTATATGTACATTATATATATGTTTCAGCAAATAATAAATATAGTGCCTTCAATTCTTCATGCTCTTTTATTTTTTTAACCTCTTTTCCAATTGTTTATTTTGAGGATAAAATTTAAAGGAAATTGTTTTTTCCTTAAGTGATTGATATGTTTTGCCTTTGACAACAGTCCAGGCATGGTGAGTTTAAGATGTGGTCAAGTTAGCACTTACCACATTGTCATTCATAAGGAGAAATGTCTCTGGTAGTTTCAGATGCCTTTCATCCACTGATAGATATGGATAAGTACCTACCTACATACATAGTTATACACACATCTGTAATGTCTATAGGAGTACTTAAAATATATTTGAAAAGACAAGGGGACATTTAAAAATAATCATTTGTAACCTCCTAATTGCAGTTTACAATTAGCACAATTAGTGGTTCTTGAGCACTGACTATGGTAAGATACTGTGCCAATAAATTAAAACTAAGGTATCATCTTACAAACTAACACCTTCTTGCCTTTCCTCTCTGAAATGTATGAAATCTGAGTTATGGTCTTCACTTGAGAGCAAGCCTAGCATATTGCACTCCTATTGGATCTTGAAAAACTGCACTTTCCCCAGAGGCGATGGTCTGTGCCCTGACCCTAAGAATTAGAGCAGGTGACCATTCGTTTATTTGTTCAGCATATATTTTACTTATATTCAGGGTGCTAATGTTCAAGGTAAAGGGACACTATAAGACATTTTAATAGTTTAAGTTTTACTTATTTCTGGCCACGTATCTACTTGTTGGACTATGTAATCTCTAGTTCAGTAGTTTGAAGATAAGTACATATGCATTTAGTTTTTAGATTTAAAAAAGACTATTTCATAATTTTTATAATTCTTGGGACTGCCCCTGCCAGTTCTTTCCCTGTGCTTCTTCAGTGTTCTTGCATTGGACCCAACAGGATATCATGTTCCATACATATATGCCAAGTAAATACATTCCAGTCTTGTGTGACTTCAAGACCTGTTTAGATTAACTCTTGGAAATTTGTAGCATATTCATCTTATTAGATGTTTGAGAAGCTAGTATTAATGGTTGAAATTTTCACAGGTAAAAAGCGAGGTGAATAAGTTGTACAAACTGCTTGAAATCGACATTGATGGAATTTTCAAGTCTCTGCTTCTGCTGAAGAAAAAGAAATATGCTGCTCTGGTTGTAGAGCCAACGTCAGATGGGAACTACGTCACCAAACAGGAGCTGAAAGGATTAGATATAGTTAGAAGAGACTGGTGTGATCTTGCTAAAGACACTGGAAAGTGAGTCCTGCTTTCATTTTTGGTTTGGTTGTTTATCTTTAAAATATTCAAATGTTAATGATGTAGACAACAACTGTGATTCTGCAAAGCACAGGGACACAGCTTCTTTTCTGTTATTGTTATTATTGCATATTAACAATTCTTACTTATTTGGAATGGAATTTTATCAATAGATTAAAACTTAGAAAAAGTCACACTTGTTCAGTAAGAGATGTTGCTGTAGAATACGTCTCATGAGTTTTTATTCATGGTGAGTGTAAACCTTCACATTTTGGATCTTTACAGGGTTGACTTTGTTGATATTGTTTTTGTTTTGTATTGTTTTGCTTTAATATTCCTGTTAGAAATTGCCTTCTATTGTGTTCCTGAATTATCCTAGAACCTCTTTAGGAACATAATCCCCATTTTATGGCTTAAAATGTTCTTGGATTCAGAGTAGACCACGGAATGAGACTTTGTTCCCTCTGATATCATTTATGTGTAAAGATTCTTACTAGCCCTGGCCAGATATGCTCAGTTGCTTGGAGCCTTGTCTCACTACGCCAGGGTTGAAGGTTCAATTCCTGGTCAGGGCACATACAAGAATCAACCAATGAATGCATAAATAAGTGTAGAACAACAAGTCGATGTTTCTCTCTCTCCCTTCCTCTCTCACTCTAAAGTCAATTTAAAATTTTTAAAAAGATATGCTGTAAATTAAAAAAAAAAGATTCTTACCTACCTCAGGTTAAGAGCTAGTTCTCAAAGACCATATGTACCTCAGAAATAATAAATGTCATGAGTGACCTCCCCGCAGCTTTGCACCTCAGACTGAAGATTGTATTAAGACCTGTTTTATTTTTTAGGATCATATTAATTTATAAAACACCGATTTAAAAATGAATTTTTAGATACTTTATTTACCATCTTTCCAGATATTACTGATTTGTGATCCTGAGCAATTCCAAAAATATACATTTTTTCTTTAAAGCAAAATTTTAAATTAATTTTAATATTGCTGGATATCAGCATATTTTGCTTCTTTTCCATTCTTCCTCTTGTTTTCAAGTCAGGAGATTGAGCAATTGTTTCTTCTGCAAACTACTCTTGATTAGACAAAGTTGATCATTCGAGTATAGGTCACTGTTAGCCTTTTATGAAATGTAGTTTGAAATGCTTCATTGCCCCCAAATGTACCCAAAGATGAAACTACTTTGTATAGACTGTCGATTAGAGTGTTCTCTTCAGCTTTGTGTTTTCTAAGAAAAGATGCATCATAATAGAAGTAAATTTCTCTGAGTTAGAAATGTATTAGTAATTAAAGCTATACAAATGTTTTTGTCAGGGTTCTTTTTCTGACAAATTATAATGCAGCTGTCAAACCCTCGCTCTGCATTTTTCTCAGAAATGGATAAAATATTGGCTTCCTTACTCTTCATTTTTTTTTCCTTTTTTTGAGGGGGGGGTCTGGTGGAACAACATGAAGTTTTTGAGGGATAGTATAAGGTCAGAGAACATTGAGCAATATAATGAAGCTGAAGAAAGAAAAGATTGATATTTTTGGTTTCTTTTTTAAATTTGCATAAGGAACTTTATATTTCCACTTACCTAGCTAATGGTCATCTCAGGTGGAGATGATATCTTGATATCAGATATAATATCTTGGTGCTTTATGAGGAAAGTGAAGTACTTGTCTTCTAACATTTTAACTTAACAGATTATTAACTGCTTTTGAATTTTGTAATTGCTTAAAATACAGTGGAACACATAGCTTGTGTGTCTGTATTTTGTGTGAAGCATTCGATGCTGCATAAAAAATGATCTGCATGTCGAAGGGCAAAGCTGACATTTCAAGGTTGGTAAACCTTTGGTAGAGTTAATGTTAAAAAATGAATTGTAACGACCTTTTAGACATTGACCCTCGTGTTAGCTTTTAATATTTTTTTTGTCCACATGCTAATCTAATGGCAATTATCTTTTCTCTTCTTTATTAATGAAGTGTGATGTTAAAAAATCAATCCCCGTCTTTTTTGCAGCTTTGTTATTGGCCAGATTCTTTCTGATCAAAGCCGGGACACTATAGTGGAAAATATTCAGAAGAGATTAATAGAAATTGGAGAAGATGTGCTAAATGGCAGTGTCCCAGTGAGCCAGTTTGAAATTAACAAGGTAAATGTAGCATTTATTGCTGAGCCCAGCTGCTGCCACCGTGTTTTTCTCCTCCTTCAGATCGTTCAAGAACCACCTCATCCTTGCAATTGAAATAAATTCTAGCTGGTAATGAAAGCTGCTTAACAACTATCTCCCAGATTGAGTATTAGCATACCACTCTTCCTCTTCCGGCCACTGGTGCTGCCATGTCTGCTGCAGAGCCTTCTCTCTTCACTCCTGACTGACTCGTGGAAGCCTTCTTTTTAGAGGTTCCAAGGAGTGATAGAGTTGGTGTTTCAGGGACTAGAGAGAGCTACCTTCTTCATAGTCCTCCTGAGTTGTAGTTGTTTGGGGGCAGGCTTATAAGCTGAGAGAGAGGGAGAGGGGGAGACAGAGAGAGCGCTTGCATGCATGCATGCGGGGCGGGGGCGGGAGGGCGAGGGTGTGTGTATGTGTCTGTGTGTGTCTGTGTGTGTCTTCACAGAAGGTGATTCTTAGAGGTGCTGTCATCAGGTAGTGTTTTTTGGAGATACAGTTTACACTTGATGGGTAGTCTTCATTGTTGAAAATAAGGAATATTTTTTCTAAACATAATTTGAAAAAAATAAAGCCTTGTTTTCCAAAATGCTGTATCATACAAGATGGTAGGTTACAGAGTTTTTTTTTTCCATTCAAAAAGAGTAAGTACCCTTGCATATTTAGAAGCTAATTTTGCAAATACTACTTTACTACTTTCGTGATAGATTGCATTGTCAAAGCTCATAAAAAATAATTGTAATGAAAAAGAATATAATGATTACATTAAATGGAAGTTTCAGAATTAAAGCTCACTCATAATACCCTTGTGTTAAAAGTAATGCTTGCTCCAATTTTTTCAGTATCCACCTGGCTTTGTAAAATATATGATTGTCTAACCACTATGCTGTACACCTGAAACTAATTTAAAATAATATTGAATGTAAACTGTAATTGAAAAATGAAAATAAATTTAAAAGAGATATTGTCAAAAGAAAAAAAAAGTAATGTTTGCCATTGTTGCACATTTTACTTTTAAAAACATTTTTACATTGCAGCAATTATGTTATTTTGAAATCTATTTTCACTTAACATACACAAATTTTTCACATTTTTATATTACCTTTAAAACCATTGTATAAATCAGTGTATTAATCTTATATTTCACTGGTTCTTCCTTATTTAAAATTTTTGTTTGCTTATTTAAATTATTTTTTACATTGTAAATAACTTTATTAAACATCTTTGTCCATTATCTTTTTGCTTTTGGATGAATTACTTTTCTTAGGTTAGGTCCCTTGAAGTGACATGCTTGAGTCAAAAGATATGAAGATCTGTATGGCTCTTTTCAGATTGCTCTGTAAAAGGGTGATACCAATTGATAATAACAAAATATATGCCAGTTTCACCAGAGATTTCCTTGTATTGGTGAGACTATTCATTGGTGATATTTAAATAAAAACATTGCTACCATAATGAACAAAATTTCATTGTTGGATTTAATTCACACTTCTTTGATTCCTAGAGAGAATGAGTATTTTCTATGCATATCCTTATGATTTGTATTTATTCTTAGGTGAGTCACTTGTTTATTACACCTTGATCCATGATATCTTTAAAGTTGCAAAGGAAGATATTTATTTATACATGAAAAGTAAAAGTTATAGAACTATTATAAGAGAATATGTGCCTTGGCACCAGCTCTTCACTTTAAGTGATGCATTGTATACCTATTGGCATGGAATCACTTGTGAGATCTAGAAAGGAGTTTCCTTTTAGACTTTGTTTTGTCTCTTTCTCAAAAATTTGAATGAGTAAGACTTATAACCTCAGTCTTCCTTTGATCAATTTTAGCGTCTATTCTGCTGATTGTATCCTTGATACTGTCTTCCTTCTTAGAAGCATGGGCCTTCTATTGCAAGGGCTTTCATGAGTTTGAAAGACTCAGTCTAAACATGGCTCCATTATTGGCAAAATAACACTGAGCACATGTCCTCTAGGGTAGTGGGCCCACACTGTCATCACATGTGACTGTATTACTAATGTGCAAAGAAACCTGGAGCCATAGAAACACTGGCAGTCTCTGAGCTCTGATGATCAGTCTGCAGTTTTGTTATTTTCAAGTTTTTATTGAAATTTTTAAACTTACATAGAACTAGGGAGAATTAGTATCATGAACCCCCATGTAGCCATCACTCAGCTTCAATAATGATCAACTTATAGTGATTTTTTATTATTATTATTATTACTACTACTACTACTACTACTAGTCAACACTTGGTGTGATTACTACTACTACTACTACTACTACTACTGGTCAACACTTGGTGTGATGGGGCCGTGCATACTTTTTTCCTGTGGCAGAACTGCAACTGTGACCGATTGTCTTTATCCTCCGTTTCACTTGGCATAGTAACTGGCAAACAATAATTGTTCAGTGATCTATAAAAGAACCTATTTGCTTGTTTAATTATCTATTCATTGAACATGGAGTACCTTTTATGTGCACAGTACTAGATTCTGGGATGGTCCATATTTTCAAGGTACTAATGGTCTTCTGAAAATATTTACTGCCCCATGTTCTTATACTTATTTTTGTAAAAAAGAATTTCTGTAGATGTAAGTACAGTAAATTCTGATGAAAGGACTCTATCATAGTTATTTCTATGTTTTACAGTAAACTGTTTATGTGTCAGAGATGGTGTGTCCTGATTAACATTTGTCTGAATACTTACACTATTTAAAACTTGTGAGCAGTTAAGTTTTTACATTTTATCACTTTCAAAAGGTGGTGGAATGGAAGAGTCTATGTATGTGACTGGTTGTAAATGGTCTTACTACAGGGGATGTATACATGATGCTGGTAGGGGTTGAAAATGGGAGGTTAGCCTAGGCTGGAGGGGTGAAGTGGTGAGATTTACCACTGTAGAGATTTTAGCCCTTGTTGCCAAAAGCAACTGATTTTCTAAACTACTGTAATCTTATCGTAAATATATTTTATAAAGTAATACAAAAATACAAATACAAATACAAAAATACTGCTGATTTTAATAGCTCTGGCTAACTTGAGCCCAAACCACCAGGAAGCATTTTTTCCTAAAATCAAGCCTTCCAAAACTAGCTTATAAAATCCCCCAAATAGTCCCAATCTAATAATTGGAAAGTATGTCAGATGAAATTCAGAATTTCTTAACATTGCACTGAAGTGTAGTCAATTGGAGAAGATAATGGTTTTCTTAAGTAGAGTTATATTGATTAAGATTTCTATGCAGCATTACCCAACTGAGTCAATCAAGACTTCATATAATTCAAATTTGAGGAGATTCAGATACTTGGAGAGTTTCCTAGACACTCTTCTACACTGAGTGTCTGATTTAGAAAGTGTACATAATGTGGGTTATGTGCAGCCGTGTTTGAGGACTTGCTTTATTCTACTACAGCGGTTCTGAAATTCCCTAGCTTCAGGACACCTCCACACTCAAAGGAACTGAGGCCTCGGAGAGCTTTCATTTATGTGGTTTGTGTTGCTATTTACTGTTAGAAATTGAAACTGAGGAATTTTTAAAGCATTTATTAATTTAACATAGCAGTGAACCCATCGTGGGATTACAAAAATATTATTTTTCCATGAAAAATAATTATATATTTCAAAACAAAGACAGATTAGCCAGAGGAGTGACATCATTTTACAGTTTTGCAGCTCTCTTTAATGTACATTTTAGGAGGAGACATCTGGATTCTCATATATCTTAGTGCATCCAACGTGTTGTGATGTGTAGTTGTGATTGAATATAGGAAGAAAGTCCAGTTTCACACAAACAATGTAGTTGGAAAAAGAGATAGTGCAGTAATTTTTTCAGAAAATTGTGCATATTCTTTTTTGATTCTACACTAGAACTCTTAAGTGGTATGTTTTTATCACTTTTTTAAAGGTTATTTGTAATGTGGAATTTGAAACCATATCAGTGAGCTTTGTATATTCCCTGACATTAAACTCTGTTGGTCTGTGTTATACTTCGAGTGGATATTTTTCCCATGCATGATATTATGCATTGGTCATTTGTTCAATGCTTGTTCCCTGAGTTAGGCAAATCTTCCAAATTTTGATACATTTTATTGTACAGTATCAAAATGTACATTTAAAAATCTTTCTACTTACATCACCAGAAAAGTCTTTAAGTGTCAGGAAACCATCATGCTCACAGAGGGAGAAATAAGTTTTCCAAAATTCTAATTTGCACTTGAAAGCTTGTATTTTATCATAGATTATATGTATATTCACTGTCATTTGTTTTCCTGGAAGGGGACAGCTCACATGGTTCTTTTTTGAGAAATCATCAGCATTCTTTCAAGTAAAAATTGTGTTCCAAGAAAATGGTGGCTAGTTTAGCTCGCAACTCAAACAATTACACAAGTATTTTTCCTCAAGGAACCTTTGTTCCTCAGTATAGAGTAGATGAGTCTTATGCATGCTTCCTGTTTTGTCATACAAAATAATAGCCTCACATTCAAGGGTCGAGAGCTTAAAAATTAATAATTTTTACTTCATCAAGAACATTCATAAGTGAAACTGGCTTTTTTTTAACTCAGTGTATGGTGATGAAAAATACAGTGATTGTTAGTACAGTTAGGTGCTGCTATCGTGATTCATTGTCTATAAGGCACCGACACTTTCACTGACCATTGCTTCTGCATCACCAGTGCAAATAGTATTGTTAGGAAAGTAGTTTCGACTTTGCAACCCCCTGCAAAGGTGTCAGGAACCTTCCAGGGGTCTGTGGGCCACACTTAGGTGACTTAGTCAAACAGCACCCTGGTCCCTGTCTTTTGTCTTTTGAAACACACTTGCGCAGCTAGATATTTCCCTTCTTTCCTTGGGCATATTGAGTTCCAGTCCATTAGACTATTTTTTCTCACCTCTTGCTTTTAACTTTTGCTCCTCCTCTGCCTGGAATCTTCTTGCTCCTGTCACTTTTTCTTAAAATCTTGTTTTTCCTTCATGTGCCTGTTTACGTCCCCTTTTCCCTCATTTCTATTCTCAGGTGGAAGTGAGCTGTGGCTGTCCAGACTCCTTCCATAACACTTTGTTTGCATCTCCCTTATGGCTCTTACAGCTTATTTTAGAGTTTTTTTCTTTTGCCTAATGGAGAGTCATCTACTAATAACAGATTACATAGGACCAGTGACTGTTATTTATCTCGCAGTACTTCCCAGTGCTTGAACTTAGTGCTCTATCGCAGAGGGAGTGACATCATGTATTCTGCACACATTTGGTTGGTTGGCTATCGTACTGAGCACCGGCAACACAGCTGCGAGCAAGGCTGCCAGGCGCCTGCTCCCCGGGCGCTTACTTTCTGTTACAGACTCACTCGTTCTGCCTTTGTAGAGCTTAAGTTCACAATGGGAGTAAATGTAGTGATTTATGCTGCCTTTGGGATTTATTTAGGCTAGAGAAGCTTTTGAGAAATGCATCCTTAAGATGGGGTAGCTGTTATCTATCATCCATCACTCCTAACTGCTCAGTTAATTCAGTGAGAGAATTGCAAACATTAGAAAAAAACTCTTAAGAGTGAGTTTACAGTCTTAATTTTTTATGTGTAAGTATTTTGTGCCATGGCCCATAAACTTGGATTTCTTTTTTGTCAAGTTTGTATCAGTTATAATAATTACTAAAGGAAGGAGAGAGGAGACCTGAGGATGGAATGTCTAAAGATTCTGTGACAGTGTTTTCTATGCAGAGCTTTTGTCATCTTTATGTCTATGTGGCTAGTGCGATTCTAGCAAAGATGTATTTGTGTATAGCTTTGTGAGAAGAGTGTTATCTTAAAGTTTGGGGAATTTTGTTCCCTCTTTTTCTCTTTTAGGCATTGACAAAGGATCCTCAGGATTACCCTGATAAAAAAAACCTACCTCACGTACATGTCGCCCTCTGGATAAATTCTCAAGGAGGCAGAAAGGTGAAAGCTGGAGATACCGTGTCATATGTCATATGTCAGGTAAAAATATAATTCACAAGATTCATACCGCTTATGATGCAATGTAAAATCCAGATCGCCACAGTGTCTTATGTAGTAGTCTTCCAGATAATGGATGCTGTCAAGAGACGCTTTATTCTCATTGGTTTTACACAATTTAAAAACATTAGTCAGGGGTATGGCATATTTTATTAAAGTTTTTGTAAAACATTTAAGACGTATGTTTTGGGACACCGAAATTATTTTGGTGAGACAGGTATATAACAGTAACTACTGCTTCACCTCTAAGTTTAACGTCAATGAAAATGTATGTAGATTTGGTCATATGTCCAGCAGTAGCCATTTATTACTCCTTTTGCCGTGGTTTCCGTTATGAATACTGGTAGAATAAGACAGTAAATGAGGTTTTCCCTAGCCTGTGTTCAAATAATTACTTGAAAAAAAATGAAATGCATGATTATATGTAGAAAGGTGAGAGATCCTAAAAACCTACTTAATAAAGAAAACATAAAGTAACCAGTTTCATTTCTTTTTCTTTTGAGTGGAGGGAGCCTAAAGGCTACCTCCTTTCCTTCTCCCTCTTCCATGAGGCACCTCTAGGCATTCTAGAGCACAGTTTGAAACCACTAACTGGTTTCTTTTGAGAGTAGCACACCTCTAACAGGAATTGGGAGAGAGGGTAGGACAGAAAGCCGTTGTTTTCTTTGAAAAAACTTGAGTTGGAACAAAGGAGAGGGCTCATTCCTTCTCTTTTTTTTTTTAAATATTACTTATTTTTAGAGAGAGGGAAAGGGAGGGAGAAAGAGAGGGAGAGAAACATCGATGTGCAAGACATACATCGATTGGTTGTCTCTCTCACTGCCTTTTGCATGTCCCCAACTGGGGACCTGGCCTGCAACCCAGGCAAGTGCCCTGACTGGGATTCAAACTGGCGACCCTTTGGTTTGCAGTCCAGGACTCAATCCACTGAGCCACACCAGCCAGGGCTCATTTATTCTCTCTTAAAAAAAAAAAAAAGTTATTGCCTCTATCCAGATTCTTTAAAATGCCTATGGTGTGGTCTCCCTACCAAAAGGCATAATTCACCTGAACAAGTCTTAGATTAATTATTGCATTGTGTTATTACAGTAAGACATTTTAGATAAGACTAGACTTTGTTGCATATGATTGATCTTTGTCGAACTACAATCAATGTGTTTTTAAATCAGAGTCTTTTCAAAATTTAAAAGTCATTTGCTAATATCTACTCAGTACTGCAGATGATGTACATAACAAATGATTTAAGCACATGGACAGGAATCAGCACTTGACTCTGTCTCCCTCCTAGGGTTACCCTTGATTAAGAACTGTTACAGAAAGCCAATTCCTGCAGGAAAATATTTCCATAAATGTCTGACTCGCTCAAGCCCTTAATGTGCTTTGCATATTGCCTCTGACAAGTCTCATCTCAAAAAAACAATTTTCATATTATGCAAATAAAGATTTTGGTAAATAGGCCAGTCTTTTTTTTTTTCACTTATGTCTTCACATACGTGGAAAAGCTCTTAGATTATTAATGAGAGGAACAGATGGCAGCATACAACTTTAAAATACATATACATACTCTGTGAAATAGCATTTAATAATGAAATCCAGCCACAATTTTGTTTTTGGCTAAAACTGAAACGGAGATGTATGGTAGTGTGACGGATGTATTTTAAAGTGAAGCTTATGTTTTTTGATGTCTAAATATTAGGTCTTAGGATTTCTTCTTCTCAAGTCTTATTGATACAGAAAAGCTCAAATGCTATTGCTAATATAGTACAGTAAATCCAACTTGATGTCTTTTCAACACTTCCCTTATCCACTGCTACTGCACCTAAACTTGCCTTTCTCCTAAACAGGTTCTGTTTTGTTTAACATTTACATTTAGAATATAGTATTCTACTGATAACTTAGACTCTAAATTTAGATGAGTTTAGGGTAATGTTTTTGGTATCTAATTTATATTGTTGTTTGTGGTCTTGTAAAACCTGCATAAATTATTTGCTGAGATCTTAAATCAACTTTCACCTACTGGTTAAGTTTTAAATTGTTAATTATTTAACTTTTGGTGGACATAATTTTCATAAGACATGAGTTTTAACATTTTAAGGGGCCTACTTCTTACCTGTTTAAAAATCTTTTCCATTACTTTTTCTACTAAAGATAACAGCATAGTTTTGAATGAATCGACGGCACCTGGTTGTCTCTGTAAAGCATCCTTGTGAAGGTCATGAATTACTACATGGGCCTTCAAGCAAGACCAACATTACTCCTTAATCTGTTTTTAAACGTGTATGCTGCATGTTATTGCATATACCATGGGATCTTGCTAGATTTGAGAATTAGGTCTTAGAGAGGGAACATTTTATGTCATGGCCTAAGTGTTTTTCCAATACAACACGGCAAAACCTGTCATCCTATCAATTCTTTTGCATTCAGTCATTTTTGAGGTCAGATTTTTTAAATACAATAAGAAATGTGTTTGGGTCCCTGTTAAAACAAGTTTTTTTGTGTGTGGATATTTAAAAATAAAAACTTTTTCGACTGGTAATATGTGTAGAAATTTTCAACTGCTTTTTTAAAAACATACCTTACTAGGAGAAAGTCTTCTAATGATACATTGGAAAGTAACTCAAGTGCCACTATAAAAAATTACCTCTACAAATCTGATTTTTATTCATTACCAAAGTTTAGTAAACTCAACATTGCTATAATCTTAAGGACAGACTGGTTTTTAAAGGAACTACAATTCTATAAATTGACCAGGTTTCATGTGGTTGCTAAAAGGCAGTGTGAATACAGTTGTGGTGCATAAAAGACACTGCCCACGGTTTTTTCACTCTTTTTTGTCATTGGCTGTCACCTTACTCTCATCTAACAATTCAAACTTCTAAAAGGGCAACAATTAAAGTTGATTAATTCTGCGTAATTTCTTTAACTATATTGTAAACTCCCGAAAAATAATTATAAGCAAGTCTTTTGATCTGAGGTTTGCTTTCTTCCCAGGCATTTCATTAAATGTTAGCATAGGTAGAACCTAGTTCATAAATCTCTGTTTGTTTCCCTCAGGAGCCTAGCCAGAGAAAGAGACCCCCGCCTGCAGTATCTGGTAGAGACAGCGGTGTGGAGGGCTGCCTCTGCTTTGGGCTGGGCTCTGAGCTGAGAAGGGACTGATTGTAGCAGGAAGGAAAGAATAGGATTCACATTATAATCAGTTTTGCAGAGCAGCTGAGCACTGTGAATAGTTATAATTTACTAGTCTGAATATTAAATTCCGTTGTTGCAGACAAGAGGAGGAGTGGAGTGAGTTGTTGGATGTTGGTCCAGTAAAGCGATGGCTTTTTGATTCACAGATGATGATGACATCACCCACAGGGCTGTCTCGGGGCCAACTGCATGGACTTTCACAACTTTCATTTTTCTAGCGTAGAGAGGGACCCCTTGAAAGGCTCTTTGACCCAGCTTCCTTGCCTTGAGGAAGAGCCACCCGCACAGTGCAAAACGGCATGCCCTTCATTCCAGGGGTCAAATATTTTGCTTCTCGGGCACTGCCACTCCACCAGGTTCCTCATTAATTTTACTCTTAACCTGTTATGCCTTGCACAAAAGTGACTACCCTGTGGATCTCCTTCCCCTGTCTTTTCCTCTTGCACATTTGCTTCTCAATGATACATGTAGATCTCATAGAAAATATTACTGCCGAGGCCTTTAAAAGATGATACTATGACTAGAATGCCTGCAAGAAGGAGTTGCATTAACATAATAAAAGGACCACACGTGTTTTTTGTCATCACTCCTAAGGGCCCCTCTGACTAGACTAATTGTCAGCAAGTCTTCTCAGTGCAGTTCTGTGATGCGGCAGGTGGAATTATTTAATCTAGTCATGCCATCTTGTTCGTTTCATGTTTCAACAAAAAATAGAACACAACACATGCTGGATTTACATTCTTGGACAGTGGGCGAGATGTTCTCCTTCATCTCTCTACCCTTAGATGCATATGAAAAGGACTTCCTGGCGTTTGGAATTGAAAACGGAAAATTTGAATCCTTGTCCCTCTTTTGACCAAGCAAGCGTTGTATGTGCTTGAATTCCTTCCAACTTTACCTGTACCCTGTCCTCTTACAGGATGGGTCAAACCTCAGTGCAAATCAGAGGGCCTATGCACCTGAGCAGCTGCAGAAGCAAGACAATTTAACCATTGACACCCAATACTACCTGGCCCAGCAGATCCACCCAGTTGTGGCTCGGATCTGTGAGCCGATAGATGGAATCGATGCTGTCCTCATTGCAACATGGTTAGGTAAGTGCCCGAGCTCACGCAGCCCCTCACCACCAAGAGCAACACGTGCGCGCTCCTCCCTCTTCTGGCTGTCATGGGTCCTTTTCGTAGGTCCCGTGCTGAGCTGACCACTTCTTTGTTTATAGTTGGGCATTTATTTTTGTGGTGGTTTGGTTAATGTCTGTCTCCCCTCATAGACTGTAACCCCACATACTGGCTGTCTCTGTTACCACATGCCTGTTCCATAGCTGGCACTCAGTTGATGCTGAGGGGAGAGAGAGAAGGCAAAAGAAAGGATTGAGATGATTTTGGGTGCCATTGTAAGTGTCCTGAGTTTACATTGTTGTAGCTTTAATTAGTGAACTTCCATGAACAAGGAGGTTTATGATGTCTTGGCTATTGGTTCATCATGTCTCTGTCTCTAAAGGTATTTTCACATAAAGTGAAAAAACACAACCTTGTTAAGATTAAAAAGTTTAAGTTTTAGCATTCAGTTCCTGTGAGTATCCTAGTCTCACATTTATTTAAATACTTTTAAAATCAGGCTCACTGTTGTTGTCTAGGAATTGGCTGATTCCTAATTTCTCATCATCCCAGGAGGTGCCAGCCAACCCTGAAACCTCAATGTTTCTTTGATTTTTTTTTTTTGCTGTGTCACCAGATGATGATCTCTTGCATAGAAATGTATTTCATAACCTGCCCTGATTTCATTTCTGCACAAACAGCACGTAAAAAGTTACATTGCTTTAAGATCTCAACTCTCTATTCCATGTTACGCACAAATGAGAGGAATGCCTAATAAAGCTCTGAGATGGTTTCTCACTATCTGCAGGCAACGTTCAGAGCCGCTGACATCTCTGGCAGTTATGGACTCTTAACTTTCTAGCTCCAACCTGTATTTGTAGCTTTAGTTCTTAGTCAGTATACTCAGGGTCCCCTAAATAGGGCATTGCTCATTCTATTCCTGCTTCGTGGAAAATCTCCCCCTCTTCTCATTGAAAGGTCTGGCCTAAGACAAGGGCCTTTGCATCTTAGGGACTTGGGTTCAAATGCTAGTTGTGGTTCTGTGGCTTTGGCCAGCCTCCAGACCTTGGTCTAAGCCCGAGAGCCGAGGGGGTATTGTTCAGTGAGTGCTGTTAGCAGCCATATCCCACCCTCCTGCCAGGCTCCTGCATAAAGATGTCCACACTCCTCCAGTCCGTGAGATTTGCACATAGTGCTCAGTGTGCATTGCGGACTGAGATTAGATGGATGAATTATCGAGTCAGATAATTTCCATCCTGCCCCTGCTGAGTATGTGTCTGAGCTCCTCCCACCAGCCCTGTTTCCACTATCCCATCAGTGTCTGCTCTGGAAGTGGAAGCTCATTTTTGACATTTGCCTAAGCAAAACATAATTAGGAAGATAAAAATTCGACTACCCGAATCATCATATAATGTATTCTCAAAGTTGAGTTGTATTTGATGATATTTATAAATCCTCAGCTGGGAGGGAGGAGTGCGAGCGCACAATATTTTTTAGCTTCCTTCTTTTTCTCTCCTCTGCATTGAGTGCTCACTGTACCGGATGCTGCACTAAGTACTTTGCCTGTGTTTCTCATTGAATCCCTGCAACAGCCTCATGCGGGTACGTTGTATTTGTTCCATTTTACAGAGGATGAAGCCAAGGCTTAGAGGAGTAACTAACCTGGTCTTGTCACATAGCTCACTGTGACTGGATTGGGACCTAGCTCTGTGTGACTGCAAAGCTTGTGCTCTTGACTGCTGTGCTAAGCTGTACTGCCCCTTCTTAGCTATCAGAGCTGATTACAGATGTTTCAACCAGGAGTGAGATGGCGAGGATGTGCAGGCACGGGAGCTTTCTCTTCTCCCTCCTCTCCCTGCTGCAAGCCCCCCCTCTCCCACTGAAAACTCCTGAGCAAAACCATTTTTTTTTGTTTGGAGTAGATCTGCCAGGTTTTCATTTGTATTGTCAAGAACCTGATCTGAGTGCTAACCGTTACCCTTTCCGTTTTTGGTTTTGAATCTTCCAGTACTGAGGAGGGGTAAATGGAACAGCCCCGCCCCCACATGTGACATTTACCAGATAAGCGTGGAGCCTTGTATTTTCAGCAAAAGAGCTGTAGAGTAAAGGGTGGTAAAGCCTGCCCAGTGGACAGCCTGATGCCAGCTGAGAAAGCTGAAGACCAAGAGGCGACTAGACTGATTTTGTTGGTTCCAAGGTCATATTTAAGATCATTTTAATGTAAATTCAGCAGTGGGCAGATTTTGACTTGCTTAAAGCCAGACTTTATCCTCATTGCAGCAGCCTTATAATTATAGGCTGCCTTACGAATCCAGTTTCCACAACTGATTTTTCAAAGGCAGTAGCCCTAGTAGGTCCCACCCTCAAAGGGTTCACGTTATTACTGGCCGATCTCAGGCTACGGAGGGAGCCCTCAGTGCTTGCGCATGGTCCACGGCCCTGCCGTGTCCCCATCTGTCTACCGCATCACCTGCAAGTTCTTGGTGCAGCCCTTCCTGTATGGACACTGCTCTGGGCAGCTCTTTCCTGGAGCCTAGTAGCCAGGTTAGAGCTGCTCGAAGAGCCTGTGTCCTCAGCCTCGGGCTGGTCCCCGTTTTTATCTCCTGCCACTTGGTAGCAGCTTTTATGCTGAGGGCATGTGAGGTTGTCATCGAGCAGCCCCCTCCTTCCCTCCTCATTCTCTTATCCCAGTGCAGCCTGTGCCATCACCAGCGGAATCCACACGTCTATCTACACGAATAGTACATCTTGTAGGGCTTTGTCTCTCCCTCTTTCCTCGTGGGAGGGTCCGTGTTAACGGAGTACAGGACAGCACGCGTTGGTCACCATAAAGATCTGTAGAAAACACGGAAGTGCGCCGGGCAGATCTTGCCGGCGCTTGCGCCCTGCCCTATGCAGGAGCTGCATTTGGATCTGCATCCTTTATTCCTCCACCCCAAGTGAAAAATGAGGGTGGCTGTTCTTCACTAGGGGATTCGAGGCCCTTGTTATCAGTTCTCACTTAGCCTGTGGTTTGAGAGAGGAGGAGGGAGGAGATGGGGAAGTGGTGGGAAAGTAAGGGGAGTGTTAGGGGGTGCGTGGTTTCTAAGAGGTGCAAGCTGTAGGCATGAAATTACTGTAATTTGTTTTTAAAATTCTAAATCTGTTTTCTTTATATAAAAAAACTGCAGTTAGTGAACTGACACTGTTAAATAAATTGAAGTGTAAAAATGTATACATAAAATACAAGCCCTCCAACTGCCTAATCACAGACATAAAAATAATTCTCTTGCTTTTAATGTAGTTTTTATCTTTGATTAATGAAATGTATTATAGTGTTGAAACTTTACTGAAGTTTGATACTTTGTCCTTTTAGTTAGTACAAAGAAATCAGGAATAATGGCATAATTTCATTTAGGAAAATTATTAAGCTCATGATTTTTTATTTTTAAGATTCTTTTGTAGAGAGCAACTATATTTTTCAACTACCTTTTTCTTTCCCTATTGCTTTTATACTGCTTTCCTTGAAATGAAAGGCAAGCATCAAGTGTTGGTTTTATCCTGTGGCTTCACTTGGGAAATTCTGTGTTTCTTCCTGTCAAGATACCTCCTGGAGTCTGTCTGGTGGCATGTTGTATGGCCAGGTGTTCGGTATGGGAAGGCCATTTTAGTAAAAAGGAGAGAGGATAGTCTATTAAATGAGTGAATGAGCCTGTTGAATTGAAAGAGAATGATTTGTTCTCTCTAATAACTAATGGTGCTCATTATCCCACAGTAAAATGTGTATCATTTTTCTGAAATCCATGCAAGATTATTGCTATTGGGCTTAAATAAAGCAAAATTTTACTCTTTTCCATCTGTGAATAGGAAAAAAATGTAGTATTACTCTTTTATACAATAGCCCTATGGGAAACATGGTCACTAAAACTTGGAACTCTTAGCTTTTGTTCTCCAGACTATAGGTTTTTCTCTCTCTTGTTCTAATGAAAGCTCTCTGTAGTCTGTGGATCAAATATTCACAGTGTGTGCCAGCATCCAAATGGTCTTCTGTACCTGGCGAAACAGGCCAGTGATGAGAATAGTCTAAAGTTCATTCCTGAATTTCCTTTTTTAATAAATTTATATTTCATGTATAATGATACTTAGAATTATATAACATCTTTTCCTCCAATGAGTGACGACTTGTACAATACCTGTCAAGTACATTTCTTCATGGTCAGTGATAACATTTCTGGCATTTATCTATGTGGGCAGTTTTCTCATTGGTCCAGAGAAATTATTGGTGTTTGAAGAATGTGAGAATTGAAAATTTAATTTAATCTCCAAAAGTAGTGCTTAAAACAAGGCAGGGCACACTTGACCCAGTGTGTTCCTGGGTTCAATTAGAAAGTAAAAATTCCCTTTCTAAGAAAATGGCTGTATCACTCACAGTATTAAAGGTAGTTTTTTCTCAATAGGCAGGATCCAGTAACATCTTCTAAGAAATAAGTGCAACAGTGGGCCAGGCAGTGTTTGGGGTACCTTTGACAGGCTCGGGGAGGTACACCTACAAAAGATGGGAAGTGGAATAAAGTATAGGTGCTTGGGCACAGGGTGATTTCACCAGGAGGTATCTCAGGTATTGCTTAATCAATCAAGACTTTTTTTTTCATGATTAAGCTCTTAGAAGAATGTCTATACTTGACTGTCATTTCCAAACCTTAAATATTTTTTGTAAAATAATAGTAAAATTTTAAAAGTAAAATCATACCAAAAGCAAAGTAGGATGTTAAGTCTTGTCAGCGGATAAAGACCACCGCCCCTTTGACTTTGGAGCACCATTCCAAGTGCATTATCAAATGGTTCATGTTCTCTGTCTACTTTTGCATTCATTGAGTGGATTGATACTGAAGATCTGCTGTGCTTAGCATCTTAATGGGCGCTGTGCGGGATACAAAGTTGTCAGCCATGGTTCCTCTACTCCAATTATAGTCCCGTGGATTCACTGTTGGTGGGAAGTCCAGGGCACAGCATAGTGC